GGGCACTGGCTCTACCCAGTGCTTCTGTGACCCTTTCTGTCTTATTCACACATCACCTAGCATTGGTCTTATTGGTAATGAGGGAAAATGTTTCTTTACTAGAGTTTCTTCATATTTACAAAGATGGCTTCCGCTTCTATGCCTGCATGGGGGGAGTGATTTTCGTGACTGCTTCATACAGGAAGGAAGAAGAGAGATTGAGAGAGCAAGAAGGACGGTGCTTAGAGGTTTAGTGGGAAACCACAAAGTATGTTTCCCCCGACTATCTTCTAGTCTCAGTCCTGCCCTCTACTGACTGGAGGCCATAAGCCTGTTCTCTGTTTCAAAGGAAGTCCCATTGAGTTGAAAAGGGCTTCCTCCATAGTTAAGTGGATATAAGACTTCAGCCGTCACTGATTTCAGCTTTCAGTGGATGATGACCACTATGTTGGGTACAATATTATGCAGCAAATAATGGCATTTGTAACCATAATGAGAAGTTCTTTTTTATAGTATATATCCTCAGATGGTGCTTATACCATTGCAGGCAAATGAGCACTGTTGTTGGCACCTATTCCTCCCTTTTAATTCAAGCAGAGAGAGATATAACTATCCTTGAAAGACCATTCACATGCTGTTACAAATGTTCAGTGTGTTGCCATTTATGTTCATATTCAGAGCAACACTTCTTGTAGGTCTCTTACAGTGATGATGCGTGGTTCTTGACCATCTACATCAAAAGAACTACAAGCCAAATGCTACACCCAGATGCTATAGGTTAGAGAATATGATATCTGTGTGATGCCATAAATGCATATAACATCACATACTGCAAAGTTAATTGTGACAGAACACAAGTCTTTACTTGCCAGTCTGGCAATCCTTCCCTGTTTCCTTCCCTGATGGAAGTAGAAAGAGTGTTGGCATTTCTACTGGACATTAGGACAATTTGCTATTGCACTCTAAGAATACTGTCCTAGGGTTTAAACCTACCCATCTGAGAAGCTCTTGTCTCATTACATTCAAGGTTAAAGCCTGAGTTACATGAGGATTGTTGGAAAGAGGGATATGATGTTCACTAAAGTGAAAACTTCTGATACCACTGAATTATCTAATGATAAGTGTTTTTAGTTATCCAGACTGACATTGATGGTCTGAGAATTATGCCCCCTAAGTTTTAAATCCCCCAAAAGCTGTAGCGTGTGGTCTTTGCAGAAAATTGGGTAAGCAGTGCCAACATTACTTGTCTGAGTTTACTACACTTTTAAACATTACCTTGCTTTTGACTCCACATTTGACTAAAGAGGAAGTCCCCCTGCTTTCCTGTACTATAGTCGCTTGTCAACAATTGATTGCCTTAGTTCTTAAATGATTGTGTTGCCCATTTGCTCTCTGCCTTAGGAATCCACCATTCTCCATCCCTCTTGGTTTTCTTAACATTATCTTATCTAGAGTTTTGATTGCCATAACATTGGTGAGGATAGTGCTTCCTAAGCATGACCACTCAGAAGCAACTCCAGTTGAATTCAAGGGGACATTAGCTTGTTTGTGTTCATCCTAAACATACCTGCACTGGTGATGTCAGTAGTAGTAGGTGTTTTTTTCCCCATTCTCCTAGGCTGAAGAAAGAAAGGATACTTAAGCAGCAACTACATATAGCTGAAATATGGTTGCATATAAGACTTACATCACACATACCATTTTTAAATGTGTACCCCTTTTGGAGGGGAGGGCGTACACCTAAAATTTTAAAATATGAATGCAACTTAGGCGGTATTTGGAAGCATGTACATGTGCTCATTTTGACTGAACTCTAGCCAGCAAGCCCAGTGTTGTAACATTGAGTGAATGTATACTGTGAAAGGAGTTAGTCAAGTCACTGACTGATACACCAAATGTCATTCACACCACAATGGGCTCATTTGGGTGGAGCAGGACACAAGCAAGGTCATTGTTCAATTACACCAGTGCAACTTGAGGAGACCAGGACTAATAAAGCGAGCGAGCTGGAAATTGTGAAGGGAGAAGCTTTCTTGTATACTGCAGAATTGAAACTCTCAGTTACATGTTGGGAGACGAGAACAGCATCTCCCCTTTGAAAGTCGGGGATTAGCCGTGCAAGATGAAAGAGGAACGTTTCTCTAGATCAGACCCTAGTTGCTCCACAGCATAGAAAATGGCAAGTCTGATAAGTCGTGGTGCAGCTTGTTAAACGAAAGCAGCAATAACAAACTGAACGTGGGAGAGATAAGCGATCATCAATGTGAAAATGAAAATGTTGTGTCAAGCAGAGAGCAAATTCGGTTTTAAAAGAAAAAGAAGATAGGGACTTCTTTTTTTCAGAACATCATTATTTGTTAAATGGCATGGCTTTCCCTAATATTTGCAGAACAGTCAGCGGGAAGTGACTGCATTCTGCTAAGATAATGAGTGAAAGAAACACAGGGAGCATATGGAGCAGAAGGGATGATTGGGTAACCCAGTAAACACAAACCAAAATAGGTTCAATATTGTCGGAAAGGGACTGTGGCTGAGCTTTCTTTATGGTTCCCCAAAACAGAAATGTAGATGATAACATTGAATGTGCTAATTCTCTCTGTGTGTGAGAGAGAGAGACATGAGAGACATTTATGAAATTATGCATGGCATGGAGACAGTGGATAGAGGGGTGGAAATTCTCCATCTCATACAAGAACCCGTGGACATCCAATAAAATGGAACGTTGGAATATTTAGAATAGATAAAAGAAAGTAATCCTTCATGCAGTGTGTGGTTATACTTTGGGGCTTGCTCCTGATGGCCACCAACTTGGATGCCTTTTCCAGGTAACTAGACAAATTCATAGAGGACAAGGCTATCAGCAGCTACTAGCCACAATGCTTGGCACCTCCAAAGTCAGAGGCAATATGCCTCTGAATACTAGCTGATGGGAACTGCAGGTGGGCAAAGTGCTCTTGCACGCATTTCAGCTTGCAGGCCCCACAGGATATCTGGTTGGCCACAGAGGATGCTAGACTAGATGGGTCATTGGCCTGATCCAAGAGGTTTGCTTTACATTCTCATGTTCCTATGCCCCCCCCCTCTTAAAAGCCAACATAGGGCTGGTTCATAGCACTCCTTTAGCCATGTTTTATCCAAGGGCCAGATAGAGGGACAGGGGACTTTTAATTTAGCCGAAAGAGCTGAGCTGCTCACTTGAAAGCTAACAGCACATGCTTAACTCAGCACATAGTCGCTTCTGTCACTGTGTTTAGCCCTGAATAATTTAATAAGACCTTGGAAATGGAGACTGCTGCTTCCATCCAGAGCTTTTTAACCAAAGGGTTGAAGCAGGGACCTGTAGCCACAGTTGTTGCCTGAAATTCAGAAGGAAGACCTTTCTCGTTGTAGTGAGGTGACACAAACTCTCCATTTCTTGACCAGCAGGGGTTCCAGCTCCTGGGGACTGAGCACTGTTGGCCCGCCCCCCATATTTTAGGAGTTGGGGTTGGGGGTCCCAATATCCCCAAAGCACAGAGGCAAAGCGCAGAGCCGAGCATGGCATAGCTTCAGTGGCCAGCTCCTTCTCCTGCCATGGAGGAGGAGGAGAGTCAAAGCAGCCTCCCACCGGGTGTTGTTGTAATTATGTATTGATTTACACTTTATTGTGAGCCACTTCGGGCATATTTATATGAAAAGGGCAAAGTGCAAGTTGGAATAGCAATAACAACAACAAATAGGGTGTTGACAAGGTGCTACCACTTTTATTGCTAAAGGCTATAGCAAGCAGAAACTCAGTTAGAACAGCTTTTCCTGGCAGGGAGATGCAATGATGGACTAAAGTACATCTGTTGATATTTGCCTTCTATGTGGGCTTGTAAGTTTTGGGTGATAATTTTTGAGTTGCCCTTTAAAAAAAAGAGAAAAGTCACAGAACCACTTCCCACTGAGGAGGAGGAAACCTTGTTACAGGGTGGCGAAACCAGCTAAGGTTGATCACCAAAGATGGGGAAATTGTCCACAAGATTTCCCAAGGAATTCATTCCTTGTATAAACTGAAATGATCCGCTACTCCGAGATGAATGTGAGGATCGGAATGTTGTTATCCATCTGCATATAAACTGACCCAGAGCCTGCACTTGTCATCTGAGACCTTTCTATATGTTCCCCATCCCAGAAAGGTTTGTAGGGTGGCAACAAGAGAAAGGGCCTTTTCTGAGTGTGGAATGCTCTGCCCAGAGAGAATTGCCTGGCACCATCACTACATGTCTTTAGTGCCAGGCAAAAATGCCTATGGCTATAAAACAATATTTGGCCTGTAAAAGTCTGGGGAAGAGGACTGTTATTATAATTTATTAGGCTGTCTGTCAGTACGCTTTTTATTATGTTTTTATTATTGATGTTCTATAATGTGTTTTTAAGATTGTACACTGCCCTGGGATCTTTTAATAAAGGACAGTATATAAATTGAAATTCATCATCATCATTATCATCATATATTGTTATGCTTCTTGAATGATCTGACATAGTTCTCAACTAAAAGAAGAAAATCAAAATAAGTGTGTGTGTATAGTGTGTGTGCATATGTGTGTGCGTGTTTTCAGAGAAGATTTTTTAAAAATGTTTTTTAAATGCAAACTTTAGGATGAGGTATTTTCTAAAAAAATCATAGCTTAATGTGAAATGATGTAGAGTGAATACATAAAAAGAGGCTGTTCTATCCATCACTAACTGTCCATTCCTGCCAGCCTGCTGCTTCTTTATTAAAGCAAATCTTTTGAAAAACTCCCTGTCTAAATATCACAGGTGTCAACTGGTGTGTGTGTGTGTCCTTTGAATCGTTGATATCTATACTAGCTTAAATAATTGGAAGACAAGTAATGGTTCCACCAAAAGTTATTATTAAGCGCTAAACAATTGTCATGCAGTGCCAGTTGTGGTTTTGTTGCCCGAGGGCTGCATTTTTTCACCTACCAGGTCTCTGGATAGACACAGGAAATTGACTTCCTTTGTTTTCTTTTTCCTGCCCTTAAACTCTGCAGGTCAGCCCTACCCCGGGATGCATCCGAGCCCTAATGAAGATGTTGTACTGCCCTTACTGCCGGGGACTTCCCACTGTGAAACCTTGCAACAACTATTGCCTCAACGTAATGAAGGGCTGCCTTGCAAACCAAGCTGATTTGGATACCGAATGGAATCTCTTCGTAGGTAAGAACAGTTGGAGGGGAAGGGAGGGGAGGAGGCGGCGGGAGGAAGCCATTAATCTATATAACTCCATGAGAAGTTCAGAAAAGTTCAGCATTTGCTAAATTGAAAACGGGACATAGTGACTGCATGCCTTCGTTTGGTTGTCACTCACACTCTCCGATCAAAGTTTCTGCGGTTTATAGGGGACGATCATTGTTCCGCCTTGGAGTTGTTTTCATTAAATCTCTCTCAGTGTCACACTGTCATGTGATGTTGAAATTCCTAAGCTAAATTCGTAGGTGTGTGAGAGAGTGAGAGAGAAAGAGAGAGAGAGAGAGAGAGAGAGAGAGGCATACTGCAAATGTTTGGGTTGGGTTTGTGGTAACAAGCCTAGCAGTAGAGAAAAATTGTGTGAGAGAGTATGCTTTGTGTTAAAGCTATCCTGCTTCAAGCTGATCTGCAAATATGAAGGGAACACAATCCTTGGTTCATTTTTTCCCTGAGTCAAGTATGATTGGGGGAATGAAATGCTCTGAGAACCATCGATGTGACAGGCAAAACTATCAGCCCCATAACTCGAGTTAAAAATATGCCAAATTCTCTCCTTCCATGCTCAGAATAATAATAAGGCATCATGCTGATACATAAATAAGAAAACGGGAAACTTCATTTCAGATAGGTGGCCATTCTGCTGCAAGTCAATTTAGGTAGCTCTGTGTCTTCCCGGAAGATTTTTGTTCTGCCTACCATCCAGAAATCATTGGTGGGAAGAGGAGATGCCCAGCTTCTAAACAACAAAATGTAACCATAATAAAGATAATGAGGAAAAGGGAACAAAAAGAAGTTGATCTGAAAGTCGTCTTCGCCTGACTGAGTGCCACTACAGGGTGATAAGTTTTGGGTTTCTTAAAATAAAATATAAAAAGCACCGTATTAGTGAAACAAAGCAAATATCTGATGTCTTCCCATTCCAAAAAAAAGCCCATTGGGTGTCGAGTGATTTTCTTCCCCTTGTCACAAAAAAAGCAATTAATTTTCTTGAAGTGCCTATTTCATCTTTCTGCCTCCTTTTGAAATAATTCCCTTTCACTGAATACCTTGGAAGAAAACAAACGCACAATGAGCAATGAGGCAGAACTCTGCTGTGAAGGACAAGCAAAAATGTAGAAGAGCTCTTCACATCTTAATTCTGGCAGAAAACACACCCAAGTGAACTTGTATTGTTCTGTTGGGTTTGTAGACTGTGTAGAAACTACAGGGGGCTGGATGAAAAATGGAACAGAGAGAAGGCACATTGAGGAACATATATAGAATATACTTTGAAAAGGTACTTGAGGGAGAAATGATCGTGATGAGTCGAGATGTGTTTACATTCTTAGTTATCCCAAGATACACTCTTCCTGGACACATATCATTATGTAAAGTGAATTGCATGAGATTGAATAACCAGAGGGAAATCGGCACACTTCTCTTTCATCCAATAACAAATTATTTCATCGATAATAAGCAGGGTCAATATGAAGTTTTCACCACACTAGACAAAAGACTATAAAAGTGTCCAGCCCACTCAGTTACAATCACATGGAGGGGAAGAACAGGGTTGTGACCATAGACACATTGTTGTCATGGCCTCAGCACCAACCACATTTTTGGGGGCACAAATATAGAACTATAGAATGAAAAGGTGTTGTATGTGTAAAGGCTCCACCCTCCCCCATAATGTGGAACCTAATCTAATCTAGTACTAAAGAGAGTCAGCAAATGAGTGTGTATGCATGCATTCACGCCATCATTACATGTGGTTTTGTAATTTATTTTTAAAAAACCCCCGAATGACTGGAGCTGATGGTTGGATGAATAAATGAGTTTGTACACTATAGATAGGGTAGTGGTGTTTCTACCGTATATTTTTTCTTTTAAAAAAATGAATGTAAGAATACTTTCTAGTACTAATATATAACGCACAATATAATATCGCTAGATACTGTAAAATACTATAATAATGTATAATGCATAACTTTGTTATTTACTGCTATCGTTAAACATCCTTCTCCACATACAACCTCCTAAAATAATGTCTTCCTTATCATTTCATTTTAGCAGCGCAAATAGTTTCATGATAAACCTTTGTTTCCTATGTTGCAAATGTGGTGGTGGGGGGTTCAAGCTGTTCCTTTTTCCGCCTTCTTTCCCCCAACCATTCCATTTAAAACTCTTGAAGAGTGTGCTACATTTTTACACAACCATTTTACTGATGCTGGAACTGTCAGGCTTGAGGTTTATGTAAGAGTCTTGTTTGCCTGGTGTGTACATTTTGGGATTACCCATGATGAGCAGTGAGTTCCCAGGTACACACCCAATGAAATAGATCACAGATATAAATTTAATTAATTAATTGGCAGTATATTTGGGAGGGGTTTTCATACAACGGTGCCTGCTTCTGTAGAGCAAATGGAATGGATGAAACAGATTTGCTGGTTGAACAAAGTGTATCTGAATTTTAATGCTGGGGTACCAAGGAACCAAATGCAACTCCACTCCCTTATGGGCACTCCCAATTATTCCTTAAGGCACCATGTAAGCCAGGGGTTGTCAACCTGGTCCCTACTGCCCACTAGTGGACGTTTCAGGATTCTAGGTGGGCACTAGGTGGTTCTACGGCACAAGCTGAATCCTCCTTCCATTGAGCACTGGTGGGTGGTAAGGAATTTTTTACCATCAAGAAAGATGCATTAGTGGGCGGTAGGTATAAAAAGGTTGACTACCCCAGTGTAAACTGATGGTATAATAAAAATAATATTTTGTCCAATGCAAAATATCTCATTGAGTATTAAGATATATAACTTTGTAGTAAGGCAACGTGGTGTGTTTTTTTCCTATTGGGAAAAGGAACTCTGTATAATCATACATTCGGCAGGTTTTCAAAAGAGGAAAAAAAAATCATAGCTCACCTTGAGGATTGAACTGCAAGCAGGCTACTTCTGTCAGACAGCTGTCAAGCCTCTTCTAATAACAAACACCATATGCAATTCCCTTCATACAAAACACTACATAACTTTTACTAGCCAAATTAAAATGAAAAAGCAGAAATATGCAGCACCACTGAGCTATGAAAGATTGGATAGGCTGCATGAGCGATTTTACCTCTGGAGCTTGTGTCGAGAACCATGCATGAAGAAAATAATATATAACGTTGTGCATTAGTAGTCTTTGCTTAGGTAAATGTGACTGAATGTTTTATTTCCCCCCCCCTTCATTCTACTTTTTCTTTGTATGTACCAAAACCTAAGTTGAAAATAAGTGGGGGAGGGATTTTTTCAGATAGCTTTACTTCCAATTATTGGAAAAGCTGCTGCCACACCAGCCTTGCAAGCTTTCTCACTTCTCCTTTCGTATAGATTTTCTGTCCTCATATGGCAGCGGGTGGACGATTTATGGTGCCCTCCCTACAACTTCCATCATCCCTGACCACTGATGATCAGGAGGTTTGGGCTGATGGGACTTTCATCAACAGAAATATAGTGTCCAGGTCAAGTGAAGTAATAGCCCTGCGCTATGCTGCCTTGGTCAGAGACCACACCTGGAATACTGTGTCCAGTTCTGGGCATCACAAAAAGGATATTGACACACTGGAATGTGTGCTGAGGAGGGCAACCACGATGATCAAGGGTCTGGAAGCCAAGCCTTATGAGGAATGGTTGAAGGAGCAGGGTGATGTTTAACCTGGTAAAGAGGAGACACTGAGGAGATATGATTGCCATCTTCAAATATCTAAAGGGCTGTCATGCGAAAGATGGAACAAGCTTGTTTTCGCCTGCTCTGGAGGATAGGACCCAAACCAATGGATTCAAGTTACAAGGTGATGGACTCTCCTTCCCGGAGTGTTTTTAAGCAGAAGTTGGATGGCCATTTGTCATGTAGTATCTAATTGAGATTCCTGGACCAGATGACAATTCTACAATTCTACCTGCAAGGCACCATGTTGAAAACCCCATCATATGATCTACCAAGCCAGGAACACGTGAAGTTCTGTATAAGGTGGTTGTGGAAAATTGACCTGTTATCAAAATCATCTGCCAAGCCTATGGATTTCAGTGGGTTTACTCTAAGTATGACTTAACTGGATACAAGCAGATGTGTATATAAACCTTCTGGATAATGTGTATCTGCCTTAGGCCACTCTTAAGTGCCGTGACTGCCAACCATTGTTTGCAGGCTACAAAGAATCACAAGAAGTGTAGTTTGAGAATGTTTGACATTACTGCTGCAATTTTATCCTGCTCAGAATGCATTTTCAGCTTCAGCAACACTAGCCTCCCTTCCTTCAAATTTAGCATATAACTTTGTCACCAAAACAACCCCAGGGACTTAAAAGCAAGAAATCCTATCCTTCCAGGCTCAATGCTTAGAGAGCTTGATTCAAAATGACCTTTCTTAGCTTGAGAATGGATGCCTCATCTCAGAATAAGCCTTGCTAATATGCTTTTCACAAGTTTTCCCTCTCTTATCTCCAGTATGTTGATTGGTCCATGTCACAAGAAGTGGGTGGTCAGCCATTTGCAATCCTGAAGGTCTTTCCCTCCTAACATGTTTCCCAAGAGATTCAGAATCACTCTGAGCTGCTTTGGAAGAAACTGATGATATGGGAGGTTCCTGCTTCTATGTCTCTTGAAGGACAGGAGTTTATTTCTCCTTCTTTGCCCTTTAGTGGTAGACTTTAAAACCTGCAACTCAAGCAAATATGTACCTTACCACTGGAATAAAGAGTGTTTTAGCAACAATGTGTTTTCATTTATTCTTGAATTCTGGAACTGAAGTGAGAGGAGTCCTATTCACACAAAGCTTCATTGGAGGAAACCATTTTTTCCTTGTTCTTCCTTCTCTCTGAAGCTTCCTGTGCCTCATTGAAAAGCTACTTCTGATGGTTAGTGGACCTCTGGAAGAGAATGGGAGATCACGCCTGGGGAAGGGGGAAATCGGTGAAAATCATCCTTCCCATTTCTTCTGATAAGAATGTTAGTCAGATTCCCTTCTGTGAATGTCTGGATCCAACTCCATGTGGTCTAATTTCCTAATAATACCATTGTATCTATTACATTAAATTGCCTCTGAATTCCAGCTTTCTTAGATGCTCTGCTGTGCTACATTCTACTAAGAGGCAGATATTTTGGTTTTATAAGAATCACTAAGGCTGAGTACACACCATGCAGTTAAAATGCATTCAGAGCATATGCACCCTAATGAATCTTGGGAGCTGTACCTTAATCCTCACAGAGCTACAATTCCCAGCACCTTTAGCATACTAGAGACCTTGTGTCCCCCACAGGGAAAGGTACTGACATTCCTTCTTAGAATTTTCCAGCCATCTCACCTGTTCCTCTACAATTGCCGCGGTTCTCTGGTGAGCGATAATAGCTATTAAACCAGTTTAACAGCAAAATTCTGTGTATGGCTACTGAGAAATAAGCCTCATTGAGTTCAATGGAGCTTACTTCCAGGTTAGTGTTTATAAGTTGGCAGCCTAACTCTGCAATGTGCTGAGTGTTTGTGAAAGAAAGAGCAACAATAAACACAGACATGGCCTCCAAGAAACAATTATAAAACCGTTTCCCCTAAAAGAATTTCAGGGCATGAGAGATGTATTTCAAAGCATGTCAGTCATTTTGGCTCTGAAGGGCTCTCCCAAGATGATTTCAAATGTCACATTTGCCATGTTGCATTGTCAGTCACAGTGAGGTAAATCTGGGGCCTTTGCAGATGATTTTTATCGAACAAGAAATGTGCACTTGTTACTCAAGTTTTGTACATGATCCAATCCCCCCACCCACCCAAATCTCCTAGTTGCTACAGAGAAATTGCCTGAAATGAAGAACCCAAAACAATCCATTTTGCAGTTATTCTGAATGTGCTGGTGGGTTCTTCCCTCCATGTCAGACTTCAGGAGGAAGCTAATTGGTCAATTTCTGGTCCCTGCCACTTTTGTATGAGATCACCACGCTTGGTCTCTGTCCAGAATCTGACTCTGCACTTATAGCCTTCTCCTCAGTCAACTCTGTGTCCCCCGCAGAGAGCAGAAGAGGCCCATCGGAACCCACTGGAAACCTCCCCAGAATCATTCAACTCTTCCAGCTCCTCCCACCCTTCCTCCTGATCCAACCACCCCCTCCAGTTGGACTACAACTCCCATCAGCCCCTGGGGGGATGTTAAACATTCTACTCCATCTCTACAATCTGGAGGCAACTTCAGAAGGGAGAGGAGAAACATTTCTTCTTTTCCGCCATCAGATTTTTGTTGGTGGCAGCGACATTATCTCATCCCAAGAGTAGTGGGCAGAATTTGCACCACCACAAAGAGAGGTAGGCTATGCCAGTAATGTCAGGTAATAGCTGAACTATATTTTGTTTTCTCATTGCCATGTCAGGTAGCATCTGAGATCTTACCCCACTTCAAGATGTCACCTACATCTCCTATATAGATGTGGTTAATTCACAGAGGTGCCAATATTTGGTTCTGATAATGAGTCCATTGTGTAACTGTCAATAGAAAATTTGCTTTCAATAGCATAAGTGTTCATATGTAGCGGGAGGCTGTAGCTACATTTTGATTCATTGGTTAATTATTTTTTGTTACAATTATTTTTCTCATTTGTTTTATCCTTCCTTGAAGCAGTCTTGTAGGAAAGGGGGAGGGGTGTCAACAGCTCAGTGGGAAAAGATGTGAATGCTCTAGCTCATCAGTCTCATTCCCAAGAGTTTCAAGTAATTTATTTTAAAATGGATGATTATGTTTTGGAAACACTTCTTTTTTCATTTGCTTACAAATCAAAATGCTGACATTTTGCAATTATGAATTATCCCTAAATTGCCTTGCATTTCAAGGATAGTGCTTGAAGCAACATCTACAAACTAAAGTGGCTTAGCGTTTACTTTTTCTTTGTTTTTTAGTTTGCTACTTTGCTGTGTATTAATGGCTGAAAATGGGTATCAGCATCCTGGCCTTGCCTATGACAAGTAGGAAGTTTCAGTGACAGTGAGAAGATTGGATATGTGATATATACAATACATAAATATTTGCAGACCCATTGAGGATAAAATGGATGTTGTTCACCTATTGGGGAGGCTACTGTTGTGGATTTCATGCACTAATATATGTTGACTAATATATGCATTTTTATGCACACTTTATCCTGGTAAGTGCATTTGTGCACATTACTTGGCTGGAGAACTGCATTGCAAAATTCAGAGAAGTGCAAACTTCATAGGGCGGCTGAGTTTTGGTTCTTGTATTGTTTCAGAAACTGTAAATTAGGTAACCGAATCAAACTTCTCTTCTATCCCTACTCCCAGTAAAAATTGCAGCCTGAAGCACTCAAATGTCAGCCTTTGGGCCAGTTCAAGTTTCCAAGGTGTCTTCAAAGGCAGCCCCATGTGGAATACATTGCGGTAATCCAATCTGAGCTTGGAGCACCGTGCCCTAGTCATCTCTGCCCAACAGGGGCTGCAGCTGGCGAACCAACTGGAGCTGAAAATTGGCACTCCTAGACCCTGAGGCCACTTGGGCCTCAAGTGTCAATGTTGAATCTAGGTGTACCCCCAGGCTACAAACTTGCTCCTTCTAGGGAAGTGCAATCCTGCCCAAAACAGTCTGTCTTCATACCTCCTGAACTCAGGAACTTGGAACTCTAAACATCTCTGTCTTTTCAAGATTCACTTTGTTTGTTGGCCCACACCCAGTCCATCAATGCATTCAAACTTCTGTCTAGCACCTTAGCTGCATCTCCAGATTCAGATGGAGCAGATCTGTGGCATAGATTCTCGCCAAGCTTCGCTTACTGTGATTTTGAATAGTCCTTCAACATTCTGGAAAGATTTGACTGGCTTGATGTGTGTGCAGGCAAAATAGCCATATTGGGAGTAAGCTCCCCACGAGGCATTTTTGGCCCAAGCCATTTACTTGAAAATGTCAGTTGGCCAAATTTTAACCTACTCTACAGTAATATGGAAGGGGAGATATTTTCTACCCTGGTAATGAAAGGCTGGATTTTGTGTAACATTCTCGCTTCTTTGGAGACATGGGATATTGTGCCATTCAGAGCCAAGAGAATTGCCCAGGGTTGCAGTCTGTAAAACCATTTTCTGTTTAAATGTGCAGCTATATGTAATGGAACCATAACCCATCATTAGAGAATGCTGAAAGCAATGTACCAGCCCTAATACCCCCAGAACTGAGGAAACAGGCCCCTCGGAGCAAAAGTCCCGCCGTGTCCTCTAAAATTGCTAGTAATATAAGTCGGTTCATGCATTCCTTCAATCTAATAAGAACATTACGGCTGCAGTCCTGTCTTATGCTTATTCAGCTGGGAGTGAGCCCAATTGAACTCAACAGTACTTATTTCTGAGTAGACATGCATAGGATTGTGCTAGAAAGGCAGGAAGAAAAGGAGGTAGATATTCTTTGACATTTTGGAGGCAGTTGGATTCTTGCTTCAGAAGCAGATGCTATAGAAGATGAATGTATCATTTATACTACTGCAAGGTGATTTACTTCATCATGCATATGTAAAACAACACTTTGGGGTCCAGTTATAATAGCTGGAGCAAAACAACCGTTTTTGCCCAATGGAAACTATATATGTAAGGAGCTTTTAGAACTATTTTTAAAAAACTCCATTGGGAGTAGATAGCTTTCCAGCCCATTAGCATTTAATTCAGGTAGTGTAATATTTTACTTGGAGGTGAAAACGCCATGTGTGTGATTTTGCTATGTAAACAAATGCACCAAAAATTGGCTGACTGCAATTCTGATGCCTTTCAGGTGACCTGAAATTTTCACTAGTTTCTAAACAGTTTGCAAATACCTTTATTTGTAACATAGAGTCTTTTGATGAAGTACCATTACCACTTTTTCCACCCAGCTATTTTCCAAGGGATATTGCCAAGTAGTCCATTCATTTTCCTGGTGATGTTTCAGTTTGAATGCTGAAGCTTGCAAGAGTCTTTTTAAGTAAGAGCACTTTATTGAAATTATACTACATTTTGCATTATACCGAATTTACACAATATCAGAGGTGGTTTGACAATCACAGCTTACTGCGTATAATCCACATCCCAAATATTATGTTTTCCTGCTTGATGATTACTTTTTTTAAAATCACGAGGTTGGCTTTTAAAAAACACACTCAGAGCTATCTGAATTACCTGTGAAGCCATCTGTGCATGCAATCCTATCACCAATGGCAGAATTCCCATTGGTTTTATCGGAGCAGGTAGCCTTAAATAATCTTAGTGTGTTGTATACATAGTATTACTGTGACTTGGGGAAAACTAAATTATGAATTTCTTTGTACCCATGAGCCTCTGTTGACTGACTCCTTCCTGGTGTTTCACCATACAGCTATGCACAAATGTCTTTGATAAATGTCCCCCACCCTATTTGTGATCAGAGAAACTGAGATGGCTATTTCTATGAAGCATTGTGGTGATCACACAGGGCCCCCGGACGTTTCACGGTCTATTGACCCTGTGCCACCACTGTGGTTGCTTTCTTCACTGCCACCACCCCGCTTCTCACGGGGACACACGGTGTCCAGACAGTTGTTAACATAAACAAATAATCAAGTTTATTTTTAAGTGCAGGAATAAGCGTATGGTTTCGGTTTATTTTTCTCTTGTCAGTTTCTTAAATCTTAGTTCCTAACAACTTCAAACTGAATTCTAACTATCTATCTAACTCCCTAATAATTCCTCTCACTCTCTCACAATACAACTCAACCAACCCACTGCCTATTCCACCCTCTTCCTTCTCCAACACCCAAGCCTCAACTCCCAACTGACAAACCTCAACTCCCAACTGACAAACCTCAACTGACTTCAGAACCTCCCACTCTATCTTTTACTCCCCCCTTGCATTCTCACTGGCCAATCACATCACACCCATTTTAACCCTTTCCTTGACCCATCCTAGGAGGCAAACGCCACATTCATTGCCAAAAAAGAGGGAACGAGAAACTCATTTGCAGGTGCTGTATGGGCAGGTGCCGTGTAGGACAGTTTCTTCCACTTGCATTTGTCACAGTGAGTCTCTTGAACACAGAGAAGGAGAAGGAGAGGACAGTGTCTGAGTGCAATTTTAGTTTTGAGTGCAACTCCCAGTTAGCAAGCATAATCATTATCCTTCTGTTTGGTGTGATGGGGTGGCGGCACTCACCTGACCTGTGGTTGGTTGCATTGCTGCTGCTTACTGGGAGATATAGGGGGGGTTGGTGTGGTGTAAACACACCAGCGGGAGCACCAGATTGGCTCTGTCAGTGTGTTTGTACTGCACCAACCTCACTGCTGCTTCCTGCTCTGTCTCCCAGAAAACAGCAGCAATGAAACCCACCAGAGATCAAATGAGTGCCACTTGTTAAGTATAGTCATTTAATCCACTGAAATTGCAAATGCTGGTATGCATTACTATGCATTTAAATCTGAGTAGTTGATAACTGAATTCTAGAGCGTTCTCTAGTAGTTCTCATGTGATTGGCTCACGGTCACATGGGAGGTATCTAGTGAAGAAGAGGCTCCATTTTATGTGAAGCAAGATGGCTGTATTTTAGAATCCACTGTGAACACTGCTAAGTTGAATAGAGTGTTGGAGTGCTTCTTCTCTGCTTGAAAGAAAAAGAGCCAAGCTGCAGGAGAAGGTGAAAGTGGAAATTTCTTATAGAAGCTGCAAGGCATGGCCTAACTGAGATACAGAAGGCTGAATGCTGAGCTCTGGAAAGAGAGGATGATACAGTTGTTTGGAAGTTAGAAGAAGAGACTGTAGGGCCATGAGAAGCATGTGATTGTAAATAATTAAATTCATCTATAACTATAAGTTTCTGCAAGCAAAGTTTTTGTTTTTTTGTTGTTGTTTTTTTAAAAAATTTTATTAAGGTTTTAAACAATAAAAAAGAGAGAAAAAACATACACAATACATATAACAACAACACACACAAAAAGCAACACAAAATTCAACAATAATAATAATAAAAAAAGAAACATAACAATTAAAAACAATATCTCTTTTCCATTTCCATTTTTAAATTACTTACTTTCTGGACTTCCTCATACCTCCCTCTTTTGTATTCCAATCCAAGTTATTTGTCCAGCAGTTTCTTTTCCACTTTTTAATCCCAAACTTTAATTTAATAAAATATTAAAATATATAACTTCATCTTCTTTAAACGTACTCCTTGGTCTTAGTATCATATTCCCTTATAATTTTGCGTCTTAATATCAAATTTCCATTTCTTTAAACATCTTTAATCTTAATCTTAATCTTAGTCTATCATTAACTTTAACCTGTACAGCTGGAAACCACTTATTTTCAATCCAACATCGCTCTAACGTTCTTTAATTTTGCAGTGTTTCTGAAGATAGTCTTTGAATTTCTTCCAATCTTCCTCCATCGACTCTTCTCCCTGGTCACGGATTCTACCAGTCATTTCCGCCAATTCCATATAGTCCATAAGTTTCATCTGCCATTCCTCCAGTGTGGGAAGTTCTTGTGTCTTCCAATACTTTGCGATGAGTATTCTTGCTGCTGTTGTTGCATACATAAAGAAAGTTCTATCCTTTTTTAACACCATTTGGCCGACCATGCCCAGGAGAAAGGCCTCTGGTTTCTTAGGGAAGGTATACTTAAATACCTTTTTTAATTCATTATATATCATTTCCCATGCAAGCAAAGTTTTTGAATGTTCATGTCTGGACATTGGTTTAATTTCCAAAGATGAGTGCCAGTCATAAATATGATTTGAGCTTCTTTGCTGCGTTTTCGCTACTCTTACTTCAACACCGCTGTCCCAACACCTCATTGGTTACTGTTGCTGTGCTTGTAGCTACAACACTAGCTTCCCAGTAGGAGGGGCGGTGTTGCTTATCGTGAGGGAGAGACAGCAGGGAGGTCAGGGCGGTGCAGATGCATGGCATGAATGCCAGATTGGCACCACCAGGGCATTCGCACCGCACTGACTTTGCCATTATCTCATCTCTCTCCCTCTCAATAACCAACAGCGATCCGTCTTCTGTAAAGCTAACATAGCAGCTCTGCCCCACCTGTTGAGTCACTTCTGGAGGTATCAGTGATGCGGAATTTTTGGAGCGGGGAAAGTGGTCTATTTTGGGGGGGGGGAATCAGAATTGTTCTTAGGAAAAAGTCTTCTGAGATATTTTGGCTCAGCTCTAGTAAAGCCTTTTGCTTCAGGCAGAGTTTTGTTTTATCAGACAGATGATTGTTTTGTTCAAAATCTCCATTTTATCTGCTGCACCTCTCTGTTTTTTATGGTAATGTGTATTTGGCGTATGATTGCATTTCATTCTTTATTTTAATTGTTGTTAGCTATCCCATCCTTCTAGTGCTTAGGTACCACTTAGATTGGCTATCTTTGTATGTATGAATGCATACAGACAATAATAAATGGATAAATTGGCCTTGCGGAAATAGCATGATGGAAAATCTACCTGCAAATTACTATTTTTCCCTCTGTTAATGAAGGATTTGCTATGACTGGCATTTTGTTTTAACTGGATTATATTTGTAGTTGGACGTGGAAAAACTAGTCATCTTTAAAAGATGAAAGGGATTTTGATTTTGACCTTTGTACGATTAAATACAAGAAGCCAATTCACACCAATTAGCCCAGCTTTCATTTACAATCCAGAAACTATATTCCATGCAGGATGATGGGGGGGGAATCATACTTACCCTTCTAGTTTCTTACACTGCTAGTTTCAGTCAGGAGGGGGAAGGAAAGGGTTTTCTAATGTAGCTTTATGAAGGTCAAAGGCACCCTGGATCAAATGTTCTGTGAATTCTAATTGACGCAGTTTTGCAGAAATCATTCTGCCAGCAACCCATATATTTGCTGTTGCGTTGCTCCCATTTGAGGATAAATCAGAGAACAAGGCACTGAGCAAACCTCATCATGCTTATGAATGGTTTGGGAAGACTTGGTTCCAGCTTGCCTTCAGTGGGAAGATTTATTTAATATCCTGATGGCAATCTAAGTACATAAGCTGCATCAGAACCTTCTAAATTCTTAAAACTGTTAGGAACAAATAATATATTCATGACTGTGCCGACAATTTACAGTGAGTCTAGCGTGTTAACAGCGTTTTGAAAACGCCCTGCAGGTTCTTCAAGGGAATACTTATACATCACTTCGGTGGCCCCTCTGTGCATAGTTTTGGAGAGTATCTTGGAGGGTATTCTCCAATGTTGTATAAGAATTACTGCCAATGGTAAATTCACCTAGGTAAGTGTTTATTATTTATAACCATGTCAAAGGCTCTAGTCCTATACACACTTATCTGGGAATAGGTCCCATTGAGCTCAACATGCCTTACTTCTGAGTTGACATGTGTAGCACTGGAGAGATTTCTAGTCTCTGTACAAAAGTAAAAACACGTATTCAACCCCTGATGGATTCATTCAGGAGCCCACTGGAAGGAAAGGCACTTCAACAGCAGAAAGGGTAAAGGAACTTGTGACCAGAGTAAGGGTCGAGCCCTTCTGGGCCACTTCTACGCTTTCAAAATAATTTTTCCAAACAGAAACCAAAACCCTATCATCAGAGCTCAAATACCTGGGTTTGCGCGTAACATGGCATCTGAGCAATTTGACTGATGGGTAATATGAATAAATAACCATAAATAAATAAATACGTAAAGCTACCTTTGCTTACAGTAATAAAAAAATGTCTTTGCATACCTTTTCAAGTTGGGAGTAGAGTTATGCAACTTCAGAAGCTGCCCTGAGCTTTGAAAACCTTGAAGTCCCCTTATAGGAAAGCCTTCTTGTAGGAAATGAATTTACGATGATCTTTTAGATTTGAATCCGCTGTGTAGACAGATGTTGTTGTATGGATGTTAATACTCTATATATTCAAGTTCCTTTGAATTCAGTGGGGCTTACTTTTGGCTAAACATTCTTAGGGTCAGGGTGCATGGCTCCTGCCAAGACCCTCTATGCACACTCAAGGGAGAAATATGCACACAGTGGAAGGTGTTTTCACCATTTCTACAGCAGCTTCTCACATGGTAGGGCAGACCAGTCCATTTAAAACTGCCAAAGTAGTAGACTAGTAGGAAACTTAAATATAAATCCAGATGTGTGTGCTGTTTTGCTTTCCCTTGCAGTTTTATCCATTAGGGATTCATAGAAAGTAGATTCAGATCTACTGGTAGAACTCAGGGTGATTTTCAGGAGATTGGTAAGGGTGTCTGCTTCCCCATTGTTCCACTAGGTTCAGATGCGCCTTGAGCCAAATCAGACAGACTGCAAAGCACTTTGGATCCAGGTGAACTGTTTTCCAAATTGCCAAATTGAAGCTCAAACTGAATCTCGCGGACGGTGCATATCGATAATAGCAACAACAAAATGACTTTTTGTTCCTTCTAAATTGGGCTGCTGAGACGAGGAAAGCTAACCTGTGTGGAATGGTTTGTGAACTCAATTCTGCTCTAGTATTGAAAACAAATTCTTAGGCCCAGAATGTGCTTAGAGTCCAAACTGTTTATAGTCCTCCTGTATTTTACACCTGGCTCAAGTTGGTAGATCTTGGGGTGTTAGTGGGGGAGGAGATTCCACAAGCATGAAGTTTGCCCATCCCTGTACTACGAAGCATAATAGGCTTGTAGATCAAATATGGCGAATGGTTTGTGGTAGGCCCAGTAACTAGGTTCATAAAGTGGTTAAGAAGACAGCATTGTTCATCATCTTCCTGTGTAGCATTGCTCATTTGCCAGCCCAGTTGGCTGAGGGAGGAAAGGACATTGTGAGTGAAAGAGTGCTTCGTTGCATTCTTCTTCTTTGGTGATCATTCACAGAGCAAGATTGTCTTCCATGAATACAGTCTTAACAGTGGGTGACTGTGGAGGCCAATTCTGGATCCACGTGTCCTTCAACAGTGGGGACATAGGTTTCTGGGCAGGAGTTGATCACAATGGGGGTTTGCCAAGCATGCCTTCCACTTAGCATGTTTCTCCCTTTCGTCCTGAGTTCGAGTGTCTTCAAAGCCCACGACACCTTTGGTAAAGGCTGTTCTCCAACTAGAGCACTCACAGGCAAGTGTTTCCCAGTTGTTGGTGTTTATACTGCTTTTTTTTTAAAGATTTGCCTTGAGAGAGTCTTCAAACCTGTTTTGTTGACCACCAGCATTACACTTTTATTAATAAAAAGCTGGAGCTAGTGAAAAAAATTGGTGCTTTTGAGTTTTGAAAACGCTTCACATGTGCTATCTAGCTGTAACCTCAGCCTTCCTCAAATATTATGGGTTACCACTTTCCTTGGCCCCAGCCACCATCGCCAGTGGTCAGGCATGATACAAGTTGTAGTCTAGCAACATATTTGAGGGCACCAGGTTGGGAGAGGCTGCTGTAAGCTAGGTCAGTATCAGTAGCCTCCATTTTGCAGGTGGAGGGGAGGACTGAAGCTGAGAGGGTGTGACATGTTCCAGTTCATGGCTGCGGCAAGATTCAAACCAGGGACTTCCTGATTCATAGCTCAGTCTCTTGGTCATTCTACTACATCAGCATTTCAGGCAACATGGAGCTGCTGTTAAATGCAGCAAACCTACATCTCCTTGTTTCTCCCCAGACATATCTGGGTGACTGGGAGCGGCCGCCAAGACCATATAACACCGGTCTTGAAAGACCTACATTGGCTCCCATTACGTTTCCGAGCACAATTCAAAGTGTTGGTGCTGACCTTTAAAGCCCTAAACGGCCTCGGTCCAGTATATCTGAAGGAGCATCTCCACCCCCATCGTTCTACCCGGACACTGAGGTCCAGCACCGAGGGCCTTCTGGCAGTTCCCTCACTGCGAGAAGCCAAGTTACAGGGAACCAGGCAGA